TGGTTTTTTTCCAATTATGTGCAGGTGTCTCTCTGTGCTTACCGTGCATCCTCATCTCCATTACCATCATATTGTTCTGGATCCAACCCAATGAATCAGCAACGAGTACCCACGGTACATGTCCATGAAGAGGCCACACCAGATCCTCACAGATCCAACGTGATATTCTTTGTCAAGCTTCTCATACACCTCTGCACCCTCAGCCATTGGATCATCTTTAGATCATAGTCAGCATAATCAAACACTCTAGAATCGCTTCCTCACGCTGTGTCTCCTGGAGTTGTAACCCACTAGATTCAGCAGACAACATATTGGGCATGGACTCGTTTCTGCTGCCTACACCCCCCCCCCCCCCCCCCCGTCCTCTCAATTCAGGCCATTCCATTTATTTTCTTTATATTTCTTTTTTTTGTATTGTTTGCTTAATACTTTTCTTTAATAAACAATGGAAAAAATACAAAAAGAAATAAACTTTTGTTTTAAATAATTAATTAGATTGAAAAATATTATTTGATATCATCAATTATTTTGTTAATTAATGGTATCAAATAAAATGGTTCAATTTAATTAATTGTTTAATTAATTTCGATTGAGCTGAATTATTTGTTTGTTTAAACTTTTAAATCGTGTTGTTGATTTGATACATCCCCATTCATAAACTTGCGCCCCCTTGGGCCTTTTTTTAATATATTTGTAATTCTTTTTTATTGATTTTTGTTAGTCATTTCAATCTGTTTGAACTTTTTTTCTTCACATGAAAAATAATAAAACCAATAAAAATTGGTTAGATTTTATTTGATTTTTGGAATTAAATCATGATTATCCGACTACTCGAGACTTGTGATTCACCTTTGCTTGTTGAGATTTGAGTCTTATGCAAGTTTATTGTGTGATATTCGGATATGCTTGGCGCACCTTCTGCTTGTGATTTATTTTCACATTGATGATGCTTCGATGTTTATTCCGAGCATTTGATTTCTGACTCTTTACTATTGCTCGGTGAAGCGTACTCAAAGTTATTTGGGTTTCTCTACTTTGCAAGCTGTCCTATAAACTCTTGTTCGTTTGGTATTTTCTCTGGTTTATCATTCCGTATTTTACCGCTTTTCTAGATATCGTGAGAAGTAGGAACTTTACTGCTTTCTAGATATAATGAGAAGTAGGAAATAAAGAGCGTGCGCTCGAAGTTTCTATTTAAAGTCTTGTAGAAGGCACCGCTTTTTGTATGCTATTTGTGTTTTTTTAAAATCCTACCTTTGAAGTAGGTATTCTGCACGTGTGTTTACATTTGTGCCCGCATTATATTTCACATCATAAGTCCTCAAAAGGAGGCGAGTGGAGAGAGTTCACAATCAACCCCCACACATTCTAGTCCGTGTCATCCTTAGCTCACGTTGTACGTCAATGCTTCGGAGTCATGCAGATCATGTGTATCGAGTCAGTCATATGGAAAAGCACAATCAAACCTCCACACTTTGTCAGGAGTTCACAATGGCCATTGTTGATACTTCGCTACCCGCTTATTTGCTTCGGGTGATCCGCTCCCCTTAGCTAAAACATTTCTTTTCTTTTTATTTCATCTCAGTCTCCCGCTTGTTTGCTTCGGGTGATCCGCTCCCCTTAGGTAAATCATTTTCTCTTTATACCCTCACCCCCTGAAGTCAGTATATCCCGATTGTGTGCTTTTGTCAAAGCACTTGTTTAACATGCCATGTTCCCTTAGGATTGCTCGTGTAGGATAAGTCCTTGAGCTAGACAGTAGGATACTTATCCATGTATGTTCACTTAGGTAGATATTCCTTTTTTCCTTGACGTAGGGTCATCATTGTATGATTACACTAGGGCTAAATATTAGGATAGTCTCCCTTAGTTGTTTTCTTTTCTTTTCATATTGCATCTTAAAACAAAAACTTTCTTTTTCTTGGAAAATCATAAAACATCTCTAATGAACTTAAATCCTTCTTTAAGGTGAAAAATACAAACCAATCTTAATTGTTTATGTGCATTTTGGCTCTGTTTTAAACCTCGTTAAGTTGACATCTTACCATCCTTGCCATGATATTTTGCTATATTTGTGACGATGTTTCGCTATCGCTTATGTTTGTTATCCTACTTTGATTTTCAATATCATTGTTAGGTGTGATGTTTTGTCATCTAAATTGTAATATCTTTCCATCCTTGCCGTGATATTTTTCTATTTATGTATCGATGTTTCGCCATCGCTTATGTTTGTTATCCTACTTTGATTTTCAGTATCATTGTTAGGTGTGATGTTTTATCATCTAAATAGTAATGTTTTGCCATCCTTGCCATTATATTTTTCTATCTATGTGTCGATTTTTCTCCATCACTTATGTTTGTTATCCTACTTTGATTTTCAATATCATTGTTAGGTGTGATATTTTATCATCTAAATTGTAATGTTTTTCCATTCTTGCCATGATATTTTGCTATCTTTGTGTCGATGTTTTGTCATTGCTTATATTTGTTATCCTACTTTTATTTTCAATATCATTGTTAGATGTGATGTTTTATCATCTAAATTGTGATGTTTTGTCATCATTGTTGATGTTTTGTCATCATTGTTGATGTTTTGTCATCATTGTTGTTGTCTTGCCTTTGTTGTTGACGTTTTGTCATCGTATTTGATGTTTTGCCATCTTGATTATTGATTTTGTATTTTTAACTAAAAAACACAAACAAACCAAAACACGTGAGCCGAACTACGTCGCTCTGATTCCTTAAAAGGGTACGTAGGCATCTGGTCACGAGGCTTAGCCGAGCGAACTTTGTAATCTTTTCTTCTTTTTCCTGTGTTTTCTCTTTTGCATGCATTCCCTCTTTGTATCTTTCTTTTTAGATTTTAAGCTTTAGACATAGATTTTACACACCCTTATATTAGAACAAATAAGAGTGGATACCGTAGAGCACTACGGGCATGAGGGGTGCTAATACATTCCCCTCACATAACCGACTCCCTTACCGGATCTCTCGGTCACAAGACCTTGACACCCTTCTCAGGTTTACTCGATGTTTACCTTTCCCTTTCAGCGGGATAAAAGACGTTTGGTGGCGACTTCATTGATTTTATATCCGATGATTGGTCGTCCGGTTGTTTCAGGTTCAGACTCAAAGTTAATAGACTTAGAATCAAGAAGATTTTGAACTTTATACTTCAAAGTTATACTGTTATCAATATAGTGACCTTGTCCTCCTGAGTGAAACTCACATCGAGCATTGGCATTATAATTAGGAGGTAGTTTTGTGGGAGGATCAAGGTGCTCAATTCAATCAATTTCAATTGAAGTAGATGAGGAAACAATTAAGCGTACGACATAGGGAGTGGATCAAACTTCCTTGGAGGTTGCTTTAGTCTTTGCTGTTGATTACCCTGGCGGGTCGCATAAGCTTGCTGATATTGTTGAGGTTGCTGTTGAGGAGCTGCAGCAGGGATTGTCACAACTACAACATGTGGACATGATTCCTGATATGCTCGCCCCTTCCCTTTTCGGGCATATAACGCACTATCCTCTCCTTCTTTCCTTTTCTGATACCCACCAAAAGGATTCTTCCCATTACCAGAAGTATTACGTGCCACAGTAGTCTGAATTTTTCCCATCTTGATTCCCACATCAATCCTATCACCAACCATCACTAAGTCAGAGAAACCAGTAGTAGTATTTTCAATCAGACAATCAAAATAAGGACCTTGTAGGGTGCTCATAAACATATCTGTCAATTCTTTCTCCAACATTGGAGGCTGAACTCTGGCTTCCACTTCACGCCACCTCTACACGTATTCCTTGAATGCTTATTATGTCCTTGGGTTAAATTTTGTAGTTGGGTACGGTTAGGAGACAAATCACTATTATACTAATAGTGTTTGACAAAAGCTTCTGCCAAATCTCTCCAACTGTGGATGTGTGTCCTCTCCAACTGCATGTACCACTCTAGAGGTGCACCATCCAAACTGTTCTGGAAGAAATGCATTAGAAACTTCTCATCGTTTGAGTACGCCGACATTTTCATGTAATAGGACTTGACATGTGTCCTAGGATAGGTCGTGCCTTTATACTTGATGAAATCAGGTACTTAGAACTTTGGGAGAATCCTCACCCCAGGAACCAATCCCAAATCAGTCATATCCAAACCCTAAGCTCCTTGGGTCTCCATGGATCTCATGCGCTCCTCAAGCATGTGAAGCTTCATGTCAGCTTCGGTAGGTTCATTATTATTGGAGTACCAATCATCATAGTTATACTCTTTAAGATTGTGCACTAGAAACTGAACTGTCCTTCTAGCCTGCTGCTAAGCAAATAATTGTTCAGGAGTCAGGTGCGGAGGAGTTGGTGGAGGAAGATTACCAACAACATGATTCATGTTGAAACCTTGACTATTACCTACCAGATTACCAGGATCACCACCAAGATTACCACGACCACCACCAAGATTACCATTAGGAGGATTCAACTCTTCACCCTCATTGTCAATAGTTACAACATGTCTCACAACTAGAGCCCTCAGTTCTTCTTGTCCCCTAGCCATGTTTTTGTAGGATGTCCATCAGTTGTTCTACACAGGAATCCATCTGATTCCCCATAGCGGCCATGTCTGCTTGCAGTTGTTCCATCAGTCGCTTTTATTACCTCTGGTACTGTACCAATGAATTCTGGAAGTTGCAATATCTGAATAATAAAACCAATAGCAGAAGTAAGAAGACCAATCTCGAAAACCTATCATGCATGACATGCTATGAGTGTATGAGTATGCATGTAAGGTTTTACCATTTCCAGGGTATTCAAGAGTTTTGTCAACCGTCAAGAATAGCAAACAAAATGATAAAAGAAGGAAATAAACAGAGGAGATACATCAACAAAAACTGATTTTCATTATATCAAAGGAAATCTCAAAGGAGTTCAATACAAGAGCCATAGTACAAAATAAAAGATCCCCTCCAACAAATCTGGTGTTGATTAAACATCAAAATGAAAATACAACTCCTAATCCTCTATTTCCAAATATTTCAAAGGTCCATGCCCCAAGTTCTTATCACTCCAAGCTTTGGTCTCCTTCAACAAATTTTTTGTCCTCTCACCATCTGACTTCAAGACTAAGTTCTGAATCATCTCATCCTTTTTGCCTATCATGCATTCCCAATTATGAAGCTTTATCACAAGGTCATCATATTCTTCATACTCTGCAGATCGGTCTGGTGCCTTGCCCTTGTCTTCAGGTAGAGCTTTGAGTCTTGCACAACTTGTGTTAATATCGCTTCCCCTAAGTTGGGTCTCTACTGCAAGCCTTTGAGTATTCTCCTCTTCAAGGTGAATTTTAAGCATGTCGATCTCGTCAGTTGTCCTGTCTATGTGCACTTGTAGGCTCTGAACTTGAAGTTCAAACCCTTTTCTCTTATTGCAAACTTCCTTAGTCTTGGCATCCTCATCTCAGAGTTGCTTCCTTAGAACTCTAGTTTCCTCTCCGTGCTTAGCTATTAATTTCTCTTTGGATATCTTGAGCTTTTCACTCTTCTGTTGACTCCTTTAAAGATCTTCATGAGTCTTCTTTAGAACTTCTGTCTGATCACTGGCAGCACGAGAACTTTCAACTCTTGGTTTCTTCTGATTTCTGTTATTTCTAAGCAATCCATAGTCTCCCAACAGCTTGTCCTTCATCTTGGCTTCATGGATCATCTTCTTCTTGTCATGGTTAGAAAGATTTCAAAAATTTGCTTCGACATAAAACTAAAGAATTTTCAATCGAGAGTTTGATTACTTGCCTCCGAATTGAAGAGGAAACTCGAAGACAAGATCAGAAAGATGAAGCCCCTGGCATGGTAGGGTTAAGATTTTTGTTGAAGTTGTTCATAATGGTCAAATGAGCATATTCGTATTCTGGGACCGTGAGGCTTCACAACTTTCGAAAACTTCTGCTGCGCAGCTACGTGCATTGATGATGGAGGTTTATATTTCATGGTTCATAAACTAGTTCATACTAAACATAATAATGCAATATTGATTAATATCATAATGATGAACACCTCATAAAGCAACTTGAAGCCGAATTTGGAATTGACCAGGTAATATTCATCTGAGGAAATGTATTTTTACAAACTCTGGGCAATTTTATCAATTTGATCCATTACTCATATACTTGTGTTCATCCAGGCCACTAGTGTCACTGATGGCAGTTGGCACTGCACACCATGTTGAGGTTTGTTACATTTATATCACTCCCTTTCACTGCTACTATACATTATGTATCCAACCTTTTACTTTGATGTATGTTATATCGCTACCCTATTCTTGTGATTCCTGTCAAACTTTCTTCATTCTATATCAGGACAATTAAGTCACAATAATCTTCTTACTCATCACGTCATGGAGAGCATTGCCGAGGATGTCCATATTAGATGCAAGTGAAAAAATGCCTTAATCTGTTTGTTTCATACAAATTTGTCTTTTGCTGAATATTAAACATTATATTTTGATCACGTCAATGTTTCCCACCAACTTTTTTAGAGTACCAAATATTAAAATTTTCACTTTGTCTTTTACATTTCCTTACATTTGAGTAATCCTTTATCCCTGCAGCCTTCTTAACTGCATCAGAATATATCCTTATGCTCTTGGTAATATCCGATTAGCTATTGTAATCTACTGCGACACAATATTCTGCTGCAACACTCACTTTGAGGCATAGGTATGGGCATCTACACCACTGATTACTTACTTACTAATCCATCCTGATTCTACTACGAAACTTATGAGATTAACATGTCAATTTTGTCCTGGGTGGTTTTAAAAAATTTGCCATAACAATGGCAATGTCATTATATGAAACATGTTTGACTTCGATGAAAGTTTATATTATATATAGATATCTGGCTTTCAATTGACGATACTGATTATGATTCTCACCTACAAGGTATGTGGCTGCTTACCATTACATTGTTACCCCAATTATATTGATCACATGACTAAACTACATTCTTAATGCAGAATATTCCGATATAGGTAACCCGTTGTGTGAGTGCCATCATTGCAAGGCTTGTATGTGGTATCAGGAGCATAAAAACAAACATCTACATACGCCTGATCCTAAATTTCACATTTGCTGCAAAGGTGAAAAGCTTGTCCTGCCACTTATGAGGCAGCCTCCTCCGCTGTTGCAACGACTCCTCTTTGAGAGAACATCCGCACATTGTAGGAACTTTCAGAACAACATCAGATCTTACAACGCCATGTTGTCCTTCACTTCCCCTGGCATGATGTTTGACACAACTTACTCTAACAGAAACACTCCTCCTACCTTGCGACTTCATGGTTAAACGTGTCACAGAATAGGAACCATGCTTCCTGAGCACGGTAAACCTCCTCAATATGCCCAGCTATACATTTTTGACACCGATAACGAAATCAAAAACAGAAGCGATTGTTTCAGGTACACCTCCTACTATTAACATTATTACGTCGTGGGTACATTATCCGTGATTGCTCTATTTCATTGGCAAATAACGAGGTTTACTTTGTTCAAACAGGGATAACAAAAAGATTGAAAAGGATATTGTAACCGACTTGAAGGTGATGTTAGATGAATACAATGTTCATGCTAAGGCTTTTCGAATGGCAAGGGACGTGCTGAATGTGAATCCCTTCCAAGACTTGAGGTTGAGGCTGATTTCAAGTAGACCAGGTGACTGGTCGAGTCTATAACATGCCCACCGTTTCCGAGGTTGCTACACTGATCCTGGGTGATATTGATACTGTTGAGCAAAGGGATATCATAATACATATATGGGACGGTGGATTGCAACGAATAGACGAGTTTCACCCAGGGTATCTTGGTTACCAATACCCGTTAATTTTTCCATATGGTGAAGATGGCTACAGGCCAAATATACTACACAAATATCAACACGAACTTGTGGTAACGAAACAAAACCGTCAACTATCAAGGATTGGCTGTGCTTCCGATTACAAGAACACTTAGCTGAACCTAAAACATTACTGCATTCAAGGCACCTCTTCCAACAGTTTCTGGTTGACGGTTATACAATGATGGAATCCGAGCGTTTGAATTAGTTGAGGAAAAACCAATCTAAATTAAGAGTTGGAAAATATAACAACTTACAACAGGTTTGAATTAGTTGAGGAAAAACCAATCTAAATTAAGAGTTGGAAAATATAACAACTTACAACAGGAGAAAGACGCGGGGTCATTGCAACAAAGCACAAAACAAGGAAAGTGGGTTGTCTTGCCTTCTATATTTATCGGAAGCAAGAGGTACATGGACCAATTATATTTCGACAGAATGGCCATTTCAAGTAAATTGGGATTTCCGGACCTGTTCATAACGTTTACCTGTAACCCAAATTGGCCGGAGATAAAATGCACCCTGGAAAGCAACAACTTGAATGCACATGACCGGTCCAATATTGTAGCAAAGGTTTTCAAAATCAAATTTAACGAACTCATGCGCGACATCACTAAAAAACACGAACTTGGCCGTGTTTTGTCATGTAAGTCTTCCATTAAATTTAAATGAACTACATGCATTTCCGTTTCTTTATTAACTTATTTAAATTCCTATTACTTGAATTTTCAGTTATGTATACCATTAAGTTTCAAAAAAGAGGTCTCCTGCATGTTCATATATTGATTTTCCTACATCCTCAAAGTAAATACCCTACCCCTGCCGACATTGACCGCATTATTTATGCCGAAATACCTGACCCAAACCTTCATACAACTTTGTACAACTTGGTGAAAGCACATATTGCCCATGGACCATGTGGTTTCTAAAGGGAAACATCGTATGAAGAACATAAAATGCACTAAATATTTTCCAAAGAAATTTATTGAAAATACCTTTAAAAATGACATTCCTTTGGACAATAGGCATGTTGTCCTCTATAACACAAAGTTGTTGTTGAAATAACATGCTCATATTAATATGGAGTGTTGTAATCAAAGCACTTCAATCAAGTATTTTTTCAAATATATCCACGAGGGGTTTAATAGAATTACAGCATCCGTTGGACCTACTGTGCATGCATCCAGGAATGGGAGCGAGGGTGTTGATGAAATACAATAATATCTCGATTGTAGATACATATCTCCTTCTGAGGCGAGTTGGAGAATCTTTTCCTACAACATTCATAGAAGGAAGCCAGCTGTGGAACGCATGTTTTTCCATCTTATTGGTGAGAAGTCTGTCTACTACACCGATCATGATCACATGGAAAATATTTTAGAGAAAGCAAGCGTAACGGAGTCTAAGTTTTCTTTCTGATTGATTGCAAATCAAACTTATGAAGAGGCCAGGCAATTAACATACAGTCAGTTTGTCACAAGGTTTGTATACCATAAGAGAAATTGATTGTGGAAGCCTCGGAAAAAGGAGTTTACAATTGGACGATTGATTGGGTTCCACCGTCGACGGGGAACTATATTATCTGCGCATGATGCTGATGGTTGCCCAGGGACCAACAAGTTACGAGGATATTCGAAAGGTCTACGATGTTCAATACTTTTCTTTTAGGGATGCATGTTTTGCTATGGGTATAACAGGGAGTACATGGGAGCAATTAAAGAAGTAAGTGAATGAGGTTCAGGTCAATTCCTTCAAAAGCTATTTGTTATTATGCTTTTGTCGGGCGATGTCAACAGGCCTGTTCACGTATGGAACGAGTCATGGGTTTTATTGTCCGATGGTTTGTAGCACCACCAAAGAAACTTGACACATGACAAAGGTCCACAATACTTTCCATACTGATAAAATTGTTTCCAAATACTTATATGCATGTTGCCCCGTCATGTTACATAACCAACATAATTAGTCACCAACTGTTACTTACTGATGGTGTAACATTTTATACAAATGAAATTGTTGAAATAACTTATCTGATCACAACGTCCTGTGTTGCAGATCTTACGTTGAGTGACACACGACTTCAGAATCTGACTTTACTTGAGATTGAGACACTACTACAGGAAAATCGTAGAAGTCTTAAAGACTTCGAACCTATTCCATACTCGGACGGTTATGTTTTGCAACAGCTGGGGAATCGCCTCATATACGAAGAACATCGTTACGACGTTCAAGCCATGAGAGATGACTTCATATCACTCCACAATAATCTAATAGGTATTTACTGCACTGTGTACGTGTAATTGTAAAGGATACGTGTTTACAAAATAATAGGGAGTATATTTCTTATTAAATTGAATAAAAGAAATGGCTCTTTAATAGCCTTACAGAAACTGAATCAGAGAAAAAATAGCCCACTCTAACAAACACTAAAAATGTGGGATAGTGGCAAGAGAATAGGTAAAAGCAATAACTCACTAACAGCACTAACATTGCTTATTCTAACTGACAGTAAATTAACATAAAAGAAAAAACAATTTTAACATCCTCCCTTAAACTGAATGTTACTTAACAATCAGTTTACTATTGGCGGTTGACACACTCCCAATAAGTTGCGCAATTTCACAAAAGCATCAAGTTTCAAAGGCTTTGTCATCACATCGGCCACTTGTTCTTGAGTATTGCAGTGAACTAGTTCTATAGTTCCATCCTTTGCGAGTTCACGAAGAAAATGGAATCGAACATCGATATGTTTGCTACGACCGTGCATTACAGGATTTTTAGCAAGCTTGATTGCTGAGTTGCTGTCGCAGTAAACAGTTGTTGAGCTGTTTTGAGTATGTCCAAGCTTCTCCAAAATCTTTCTCAACCAAACAGCCTGACAAGCACAAGTAGATGCAGCAATAAATTCTGCTTCTGTAGTAGACAAAGATACTACAGGCTGTTTTTTAGATAACCAAGATATTGCAGCAGAGCTCAATAGAAACACATATCCCGACGTGCTTTTTCTATCATCCAAGTCACCCGCATAGTCACTATCCGTGTACGCGACTAATTCTTCATTTCCGCCCTTCTTGTAAAACACACCATAATCAGCTGTCCCTCTTAAGTATCTTAAGATTTTCGTTGCTGCTTGCAAATGTAGTTTAGTAGGATGCTCCATGTATCTACTTATGAGACTAACAGCAAACATAACATCCGGTCGAGTTGCCGTTAAGTACATAAGACTTCCTACAATCTGCTTGTAGTAAGTACTATCAATCTTCATGCCATCTTGATCCTTTTGAAGCTTCTCTCCAGGAACCATTGGATTTAGAACAGAATTACTTTTGTCCATTCCAAATCTTTCCAATACTTCCATCACATATTTTTTTTGACTAATGAATATGCCCTCACTCTTTTGCATTACTTCAACACCTAAAAAATACCTCATTTTTCCCAAATCGGTCATATCAAACTCAACCATCATGGATTTTTTGAATTCAACATACATTGACTCATCATTGCCAGTGAATATCAAATCATCAACATACAAGCTTACAATTAGAATTTTACCTCCAGCACTTGTCTTAACAAACAAAGTGTGTTCATGAGTGCATTTTTCAAAGCCTTCCTTCAAAAAATATGATTCTATGCGACTGTACCAAGCTCGTGGAGCTTGCTTCAGTCCATAAAGTGCTTTCTTTAACTTGTACACCTTATGCTCATTGCCCTTGATTTCATATCCGCAAGGCTGTTCCACAAAAACTTCTTCATTTAGTACACCGTGCAAGAATGCCGACTTTACATCCAACTGATAAACGGTCCATCCCCTTTGAGCAGCAAGTGCAAGCACTAGTCGAATGGTATCTAATCTTGCCACCGGTGCAAAGACTTCATTATAATCAACTCCATATTTTTGAGCATATCCTTTTGCTACAAGTCGCGCTTTGTGTTTGTCTATTTCTCCATTCTCATTAAGCTTTGTTTTGAATATCCATTTCACTCCAATTTTCTTTCCACCAACCGGTAAATTTGTCAACTCCCAAGTGTCATTCTTCTCTATTGATTCTAATTCCAAATTCATGGCATTTCTCCATTTTTCACTCTTCACAGCTTCTTCAAATGAAATTGGGTCAGCACCTGCAAACATGGCCATGTTAGTCATGTTTTCTTCTTCTTCTGACAGTCCTTCTCCACTTTCATAATCCCTCATCCATACAGGTTGTCGTATTATTCTTCTATTTGAATCTTGCCGACTCTCTTCAATTGACTCGTTTGAATCAGAGTGATCAAGTTCTCCTTGTATTTCTTCATTGATGCTTGTATCATTTTCTGCACTTGCAGCAGTGGCAGATTCATCTTGTTCATCTTCCCATTCTAAATTTTCTTTGATGTTTTCCTCATGTCTTTTGTTCCAGTCCCAACTTTTATCTTCTTCAAAAACGACATCTCTACTAACAATAATCTTACGAGAAATTGGATCGTACAACCTGTATGCCTTTGATTCTTCACTTACTCCAAGTAGAACACAACTAGTACTTTTTCTGTCTAGCTTTGTTCTTTTTCTGTCGGGTATGTGGACATGCGAAACACATCCAAAGACTCTAAAGTACTCAACTGATGGCTTTACATCACTCCAAGCTTCTTCAGGAGTCTTGTTTTTCACAGCAACTGTTGGACATCGGTTCAGCACATGAACAGTCCAATTTACAGCCTCGGGCCAAAAATTCCTTGGAACTTGTTTCTCATACAGCATGCAACGAACCATGTTCATAATGGTTTTGTTTTTCCTCTCGGCTACACCGTTTTGCTGTGGTGTATATGCAGCCGTCAGTTGCCTATTTATACCATTATCCTTGCAAAAGTCATTAAATTCTTGTGATGTAAATTCACCACCCCTGTCAGTACGCAAGCATTTGATGAATATATTTGTTTCTTTCTCCACGTGATTTTTAAAGCTTCTAAAAGTGTCAAAAGCTTCAGATTTTTCTACTAAAAAATATACCCATGTTTTACGACTATAGTCATCAATGAAAGTAATTAGGTACCTCTTTTTGCTATTTGAGGCTGGTGTAATAGGCCCGCATATGTCAGCATGTATCAACTGTAGGATTTGAGATGCTCTCCACGTGCTCACTTTAGGAAATGGATCCCTCTGTTGCTTTCCCGCAAGGCAGTCTTTACAAATTTTAGAGGGAGTTTTGAGTTGTGGAAGACCATTCACCATCCCTTTTTGCTCAAGAATCCTTAAGCCTTTAAAGCCTAAATGTCCAAATCTACAGTGCCATAACTGAGTTGAGTCTTCAGTAATTGTGTTGAAACAAGCCGATACACTTGACTGAGGCTTAACCGGCAAAATGAACATTCTGTTTGAGGACATTATAGTTTCCATGATCAAGCCTTTCTCCTTATGATAGATCTTGCATTTTCCATGTTGAAAAATGATAGTTAGCCCCTTTTCTTGTAGCTGACCAATGCTCAACAAGTTGTTCTTTAGCTCAGGAACATAGAACACACTAGTAATGATATGTGAGATTCCATTCAATTGAAATCTCACATTTCCTTTTCCTTTCACAGCCATGCTGGAATTGTTTCCTAACTTCACAGTTTCACTAAAATTTTCATCCAAATCAGAGAATACATCCTTCTTACCACACATATGATTACTACACCCTGAGTCAATGAACCATGCTTCTTCCTTATCTGATTCTTTACTTTCCACGGATGCCATCAAAAGCATTTCTTCTTGAAATTCTGCATAATTGACTTCACTCTCCTTGCTTGGACATTCATATTGAAAATGACCAAGTTTATGGCAATAATAACACTCCACAGTGGACTTGTCAAAATTTGACATGCCCCTTCCTCCACCTCGTCCGCGAAATCCTCCACGACCACGACCGCGACCTCTTGATCTGTTTTCATAGGTTACTTTCAAGGCTTGCTCTTCAATAACAGGAACATTCATGCGTTGCTCATGCACCAGCAAGCTACTTTGTAGTTGGTCGACTGATAAGGCGTCAATGTCATTTGACTCCTCAATAGAGCAAACAACATAGTTGAATTTTGGAGTCATGGACCGCAAAATTTTTTCAATAACAGTAACATCTCCCATAGTCTCTCCATGGGTTCTCATCTTGTTGGCTATGGTGAGGGTTCGAGAAAAGTACTCGTTCACCGATTCTCCAGCTTTCATTTGCAAGATTTCAAATTCCCTTCGAAGTGCTTGTAGTTGTGCTCGTTTAACCCTTGCCGTCCCTTGATACTTCTGCTTCATTGAGTCCCAAATGTTCTTTGACGTTTCTTTCTTCAAGATTGTCTCCAAGATAGATCTATCAATTGCTTGAAAAAGATAATTCTTTACCTTTAAATCCTTGAGTTTTTGATCTTCAACAGTTTTTCTTTGTGCCTCAGTTGATTCTGCACCCCCAACTGCTGTAGGGATCCCATTTTCAACCAAGCTCCAGTATTCCTTGGATCGAAGGAAGTTCTCCATGAGCATTGCCCAATGATCATAGTGACCATCAAACTTTGGAATGGATGGTTGAACAAAACTGCTGTTTTCTGCCATCTGCTTGAAAAGACTGCTGCGTTTCAAGTATTGATCAGGCCCCTTCTAGAGGAGCTCTGATACCAATTGTAAAGGATACGTGTTTACAAAATAATAGGGAGTATATTTCTTATTAAATTGAATAAAAGAAATGGCTCTTTAATAGCCTTACAGAAACTGAATCAGAGAAAAAATAGCCCACTCTAACAAACACTAAAAATGTGGGATAGTGGCAAGAGAATAGGTAAAAGCAATAACTCACTAACAGCACTAACATTGCTTATTCTAACTGACAGTAAATTAACATAAAAGAAAAAACAATTTTAACAGTAATTACTATCAGTAGTACACAATTATGTTTTGATTTCATGTTTATTTTTTTCATAGCTGAGCAGCGTGGAATCTACGACAAAATTATGACTGCAGTTAATAGGCAGGCCGGGGGTATTCTTCCTCCATGGTTATGGGGGAACCGGAAAAACCTACATGTGGAGGACACTTGCGAGTGCACTTAGATCTAAACACAACATATGTTTAACTGTGGCAACGAGTGGAATTGCATCTTTGTTGTTACCGGAGGGAAGAACAGCACACTCGAGATTCAAGATACCCGTCCCTAATTTGGATAACTCAACTTGCAAGACTAATTACAACGACGATAATGCGGAACTACTTCGGCAGGCTAAGTTGATAATTTGGGACGAGGCACCTATGGCGAATAGATTTTGTTTCGAAGCACTTGACAGGACATTGAGGGATGTCATGAGTACCTATAACAATTCCAATGAGGTGTTTGGTGGAAAGGTAGTTGTGTTTGGTGGAGACTTCAGACAGATTTTATCCGTAATATCCAAGGGAAGTCGTTCAGACATTGTCCACACTACAATCAATGTTTCCTACATATGGCACTCGGTTGAACATGTCACCTTCTCAATCTTCCTGACCTTTCAAGCTAAGTCGTCGCTAATTCTCAATCATTGTATCATACCAATGACGATTAACAAATCTCAAGGCAATTCATTAGATTGGGTGGGCCTTTACATTCCTCGGGACGTTTTCACTCATGACCAAATATATGTGGCACTCTCAAGGGTCACGACGAAGAAGTGAATAAAAGTATTGGTACACGATGACGAAAACAGTCCCAAAACTACAACAACAAACGTTGTATACAAGGATGTATTCAACAACGTTTAAACAGTCCGACAACCACTATGTTTTTTTCCTTGCAGTGGTTTCATTTTTTTGAAAAATCAACATGGGTTCACATGGTATCTTTGTTGTTCTGTAAAATGAGTAAAACCACAACCCTGGTGATTTTGTTTTATGAGATCACATAAATTGCACCAGTGATTAAATTGAACAAAAACCGTTATAAGCTTATGGACTTATGTAAGCCCTGACTGTGATGGAAAATGTAAAAGGACCGACAATTGTAATTACAATGGATAATTGGCGCATTTGTTATGTTTAACTCATTTGAATGTATAACATAGCATAAGTTGTAATGTATAACTGATTTTTTGCCGTTAGGCTTAATTAGTGATTTTGTATTCCTTAACTTATGATTAGTAAGAGTAAGTTACTGAAGCTTCTATCACTCTTATATTTTTTCATGGATATTATAGTTTGTAAAATTAATTAGTGATTGTCTACCACATGTTTGCTATTCAAGATTGAACACCAAACATGAATGATCTGGCAAACATAATCTTTTTAATAAATAAATTTAAAAAATGGTTGAAGGATAATCACGGATACAAAGTCTTGCTAAAGACAAATTTTCTGATCTCAATTCAGTTTATTATGAAGTAAGAACCTTATAAAGATGAAAATATCTATGAGAATTGAATTGAAATTAATTTTAAGTATGTTAGAATTGTCAATATAGTTATTAGAGTTGATTTTGTTAAAAGAGTTGTTAGAGTTGTCAATAAAATTGTCAAAGTCGCTTTAAGTTATTACGAGTTATATTTTAATTTTTTCGCGTAACTCTGACATATTTAGAGTTATCGATGTTTGCGTTTTCGTAGAAATTTTAAAGATTCATAACTTTTGAACCGTAATTCCGTTTGAGTTTCCGTTCGAAAGTAAGAAAGCTAGTGCGATATTTTTTCCAATAATAATAGTCTTGTTGGAAATAAGTGATTTAATAATGACGTGATTATATAAATGACTTGTAATTATGTTGTTTGGTTCGTGAAATGGTGTTGGATGTGAATAAAATTGTTTGACTTTATTTGCTATGTGTTATTGTGATGTGTTGAATTGATAAATGTTATTAGTATGCATTGTATGTGTTGTTGACATGATGTATGTATGATGTACAATTTGGTGGGATAATTTAAATGTGGTGAATTATGTGAAATATACTTGTATGATTAAGATTTGGAGATGATCTTAATTTGCATATGATTTGTTGAGATTGCACATGCATCATTCGTGTCAAGAGACAATGCCGGTTAGTTTTTGGGAGAACTAGTGGCTTGTCCCAAAACTGGAGTGGTTTTGAAAGCTTAAAGGCCGAATCGAACTTTTATTGGTGGTTATCTGTCTAGAGTAGACTCGGTGATACCGCTAAAGATAATAATTGATACCACACACATATTGTATTGAGTCGTAGTGGAGTCACATGTGTCGATGTGAATGTTGAAATTGGTGCACAATATTTGATATTAATGTGAATGTTATATTTATAGTATTTGTGATTAATTATCATTTGAATTGTGAAATTGTGGATGTATTACATAGACCAGAGTGATAACTTGTTGAAGAAACTCTTGGAGTGTGAGAATAATTATGTTATGCATGTATGCTATCAATTATATATTTTATGATTTCGATTAGGGGTGTGCATGGTTACTATATATTGTGATCCAATCCACTTTTATGGTTATGATTTACAAATCAAATCATTAATCACAAAAACTTATTTAAAAAACATAATTGGTTTCAAACCGGATTAAAACCAGTTTTAATTTTAATCCAAATTATTTAAATATAATTTAATCTATATTCAATTCATTTTAATTAATAAAATTTTAAAATTAATTCAGTATTAATTTTTTTAAACATTAATAAAGCATATTTTTAATTTAATTTTAAGCAGATTTTAAAAAATTGTCGCGGTCGTATTACAATTTTTGCAATTTCGGTCGATAGAGGTGTTACGACATTGATTGTATTCGTCGCAGTGTAAACTATTAATTATAATTTTTTTTTTAATATAAAACAGATATAACAATATCGATATCGACATATGTCTAAAATATTTTGTCGCAGTTGTTCTCACGGTCACAAAGCATTTTTTAAAACTTTTTTATGTTTAAATGATCTTTTTTGTTTTATCAATCCTAAAAGAAAAATCAATTAATACTGAGATAGTATTAATTAATTCACTGTGCACATTCATTTTCTTATATAAAGTATATGTATATTGAATGAAAAGAGATCAAGTTCAAACAAATTTCTTTCAAATTTAAATTTGTCTTCTACAATGATAATAAATATCTTGTTTTTTAAATGTTTAGCATACTATATCTTTCAATTTATTTGAGAGTGTTTGCATGTTTTTTAACTATAATTAAACATTTTTATATTTATTTAATAATTAGTCATTTGAAATAAAGTGTTAAACATCATTCAATTTTTATGAAAATGTGTAGAGCTTATTTTCTTGAGAAAGTGTGAAAATTGGAAAGTAGAAAAATTTGATGAGAAAAAAATTTGCATACACAATAACTATTTTATGGGTACCGTTTACCACTTTGACTATAGATGGACCACCAAATCTAATATTTAATATTTGGATTGGGTTTTAATAAATGGAACAATTTGGATATGAATTTGGTTATCAGTAACCAGTTTTTTTGCACACCCCTAATTTCGATAATTATGTGAAATCTCACATTTTTATTGGAATGATGTTTTATACGACATCGCTTTAGTATCGAAGTTACTTCTAACAAGGATTAGACGGATGGGTTAGTTCTATTTATCAGCTTTCTTAGATAATGAGTCATTGCTCTGGTCTATGTAATACGGGAATGTTTAGAACTCGTGTTTGATTGTTTCGAGAGATGTTTTATATCACTCTCTTTTATTTGACTGTTGTATGAGATTATGTTATGATTGACTTTGGTGTCTAATATTTCATGATATGATTGTCGGTATGAAATTTCGATCATTAATATTATTGTGAAGAAATAATATTATCATTACGAGATACATTTATGTTAGAATTATGAAACATAAATTTAAAACACGTATTATGATCATAATTAATATATATATTTTATTTATCATTTCGTGAAATACATATGACCTCCTCTTAAAATATACATGATTTTACTCTAATTTATACCATAACTTATATTTAGATTTAAAGGATGTTACAGTGTCTTTTAGAGTGACGCTAAGTATCTTATTTAATACATTTTTTGGTTTAAGTTTTAAAATAATTTTTTCAATCCTTATTCACTAACTGACCGTTTCTATTTCTTTATTTTTTTCTCACTAATTTCATTTGACCAACCCTTTTGTCATTACACCATCTTCAACATATGCACCTTTTTTTTTTAGTCTCACTAGGATTCCAACAATTAATGGTATTTTATAAATAATTCCTACATAACATTACTTTGTTTTGTTTATAACGTCATTTTTTCTTTCACAATTTGTCTTTATTTTTTTATTATATTTTTTATAAATTTTTTTAACTTGTGCCAATTATACGGTCCATAACTGTATCGATGCGGACACACTGATATCCTACTAGTTATAACTAAAGGGAATATAACTTATGAAGAATGAGTTGCTACAACTTTGTGTGGGTGGGGGAGAGAGGGTTTGAAGTATTAAAAACACCCCCTTACATTCTAAATATTTTAAAGAGAGATCTTGGTAAATTTGTTCACAAAATAAATTAGACCCGGGGAAGATTCCGTTTTACCAGCACTTTTTGGCGGGTATAAGTGCAACTTCCTTCAAGATGTGTTTTGCATGATGTCAAAACTATAAGAATATATCATTTTTGTATATTGTGCAGTATCTCTGTGTTTGGGAGGCACCCTACGCATTTAGAGGTCTTAGGAATTATTGGAAACATAGTCAAAACTGACTCAGTCTCAAAAAATTATTTTTTACACTAAAAATGTATTTACAGGCCGTCTCATAAGTCACTACAGCCTGACTCATGTACTGTCCTAAATAGGTAGATCTCTTCTGTCTTAGTGCTTACCCTCAAATTTTGGTAAACAACAGTTGATCTTCCAAATCCTTTCACAGATTCAGTTACTTACGAGATCGATCAGATTGATCTCAGGACACGAGTGTCTTTATTAATCTTTTAACTTGATTGTTGTATTTAACATGTTTTATATATGAAGACAAATGGCTTCAAATATCGAATTAAAATGCATATAAAGTGAAAGTAAAATTACTTCTAAACTTGAAATGGTAAAAGACTTAAGTAAATATTATTGGAAATTATGCAGAAAGTAAATGAATTTATGTTAAATGAGTGTATCATACGTACATCCTCAATAAACTCGTTTCTCTTTAACACTTGGTACTTTGAGTAATTTCTGAGTAATTTGTATAAAGACGTTCACCCCCTCTATCGAAATACTAAAGCCACTATTTATACTACTTCGATCCTATCGGTCTTTTACACGAACTAATGTCACGTTTCTTTTTGCACGTCTTCGACGAACTCAGAGCCTTCCACGCGTCTTTTTGGATAAGATCAAAATATTTGAATTCGAATCTCCTTCTTATCTTGAGCGCCAATCTCTGAAGATGTTCGAACGAAAAAAATGTTTGAAATCTTAGCCACATTTCAAATAAACAATCTTTATTCAATAATTCGAATTGGTAAACCTTTCCAACGAATTTTACTCAATTCGAATCTCAATCTTTATAGCTTCACATAAATAAAGTAGTGGAATATTCTGAAGTATATTCAAGTCTAACTTTAAAATCCATAGTCGAAATTTCCAACTAACAAATTGCCCCCAAGAAATATTCATTTCGAAACAAGAAATGTATATTTTTTGCAACCTCTTCAAAATTTCGACTCCCTGAACATGTTGTCAATCTTTCAACGACTC